GAACTATGCGCTCTCGGCGCCAACTAGCGAAAATACCTCAAGATAAGTCTCTAGATATCTGACCTGGTACACCAAATATGAAATTTATAAGCTTGCGAAAAGTCACTTCTGTTCCAGTATGAACAGAATATGTCGAAGCTCCGCAAAATACTTAGTGTTCACTACTGGATGGATGGACCTCACGAGAGCTTGGCGAAATCAGGTCTGCAACTGACACTCACACTCGCAAAGTCAGTCGTTCCAATCCGAGGAAAATCGGAAGAGATCTAATGAGCTTTTCACCAGTTGTCGTTTCTTCAATTTTAGGGATTTCAACTGACTCTTGTTCAATCGCCATCATCATCACATATAATATTTATTCAGAGGAACCGGCAGGAATAGAAACAAACTACCTAAGCAAATTTTATATGCAAAATTTATTGAAATTGGAGTAGCATCATACCAATTCTACCAAACATGTCAGCCGTCATAATCTTTTGACGGATAACTAATGAAGTTCCCTATAAAAGATACACACTTTTACCCGATTTTTGCTGTATAGAGAGATCTGAATAGTAAGATCTCATTAGAAGATGACTGCGTTCCCGATTAGGCGCAACATTTTGACAGTTGTATGCAAATGATACTGTACTATTTTATGGCCTTATCCTTTATTCATAATACCAACTATTTTAACAACATAACTCACTCCAAATGACGCAGTTCTGCCCCATATTGTAGTTTGGGAAACACAGATTTTTTGCCAGTACTAGTATGAGAAGTCGTCGTAAGTTACTTGTTTCTAATAATAAATATACCAGTCTTCTAATATTTTGACGCAGGACTTTTATAAATTTTCATAATCTACTGTATAGTGTAAGTAACGGGTGATCCAAGTAAAGGCATTCTTTTCTATAGCCTTTCTTGACAGATCACGCGTGAGTCGTGTCAAACTGTTATGTTATTTTTATTCAGTATTGTTTGGCATTTCATCATGAGAAGACTTACGCCTGTACAACATTTAAAACACGTTCAACTTGAATACGAAAATTCACGTTCTGTAAATATGTTTCGTGCATAATCGGTCTACTGAACATACTGTTCGAAACACCATCACCCATCTTGCTTAAGACCCAGCATTCATTATTGTATAATATTCGACCAAATAGCACGCAATGAAGAAAATATATAGCAGCCGTAGCTGAGAGTGTACACGTAGACCTTGGAGAGTCGTTTCGGCGAAGTTCGCAGCAACTTAGACTGACGTATGGAACGACCTGACGTATTTTACGTTGAAATCTTTAGTTAAAAGCATATAAAATACAGATTGTGCAAGAACTGAAGCCGCTCTACCTTCCCAATGGGTATGTAAGCAAAATTGTAGCATATGGGGTGAAAAGCAACCTGAAGAAATTTAAGGACTGCAATTTTATCTAGGAAAAAAACGATTTGGTGTGGCTTATAGGCCGGTGGAACCATAGGTCCATATTTCTTCAAAAATTATGCCGGTGATAACACAACCATCAAGGTCACCGTCGATGACATTTATTTTTAAAAAGGCGGGCCACTTCCCACACATCGCATCAATCAACGGATTTATTGAGAAAACACTTCGATGAACAGATAATTTCGCGTTTTGGGCCGGCCGATTGACCACTAGGATCGTGTGATATCACACCGTTAGACTTTGCCTTTGGCGATATGTAAAGTCTCGGCGGACAATCCCGCTTCGATTCAAGCCTTGAAGCAAAACTTAACGTGTGTCATTTGCCAGTTACCAGTCGAAATTCACGAACGAATCATAGTAAGTTGAACTCAATAGACGATCTGAGAGGTAGCCGCGGCCAACATCTTCGAAAAAATAAATGCCAAATTCTATTGAATGATAATAAACAACCCCCATTGCATTTAAATGTCTGTGTTTTTTCTTTAAAAAAAAGTAGGGAATCTCTAAATGGATTACCCTTTATATATACTTATGAAATACCACTTCCTTAGAGAAGTTTACGCCTAAATCATCAACTGATAGTTTTTTATAGTGATTTATTATACTGCAGTGATGTCTTAAACGATGAATTCTTTCACCTTACCTTACCATATATAAATCAAGAGCAAATGATGATATCGAAATAAAACTTTGCACAAAAAGTATATTTTAGATACGTATACAATCTCAGGATCAAAAATAGTCAAAATCGGACTATAATTTTTCAAGTCTCCATATATCGAATATATGTATTTCAGTGTTCATGACCATTGGTAAAACTGTAAGGCATCCTAATGAAAGACAAAGAGCATTTTTTTAAATGATCGTAAAAATCGATAACATTGGCTCATTACTTTTCTCAGCTCTCATATATACATCAGAAAGACTTTCGAACTTCCAGTTGACTTTATACCATACTGGTATATGTGATATAAGTATACTGGTCAATATGTGATATACGTAGGTTAATTCGGGATCAACACTAGTGTTGCAATCTGAAAATTCACAAGGTTGATATTTTTCATGGTATGTATTCTCAGAACGTTTTGACATAGGAGCGCTATTTGTGTTCTTTACAGTAGCTTAAAATATTCTTCTTGACCAAAAAATAGAATTAACTTATCGAGAATGAATAGATGAACTTAATTAAACTTTTGACGATGAAACTTCATCAAAGATCAGTATTTATCGATGGTATGGTGAATCCAATAGAGGCGGCAGATCACTCCAAGAGGGATTTTGTAGAGGTTTTCCAAAATTAGTTGTTGTTCCTGAAAAAATTGATGCTGTGCGCACAATAATATTGCAAGGTCGTCATGTGACTTATCGTAGGATCACTCTTTACCACGGCAATGTGAACTATCCCACATGACTGAAACAACTGCAGCTAATTTGTTGAAGTAATCCACCATAAGGTCTTGACTTGGAACCGATTGACTTCTTTTTATCTTATTAAAGATAAACAAAGAGACCAAGGTTCTTCGATAGTTGAAAAGGCAGTTGATGTGTTCAAAAGTCATGTTTTGGAAATCCCTCAATCAGAGTGCCAAAGTGTTTCGAAAATCGGTTCAAACGTATGCAAAAGGAGAATATTTTGAAAAACAATAAAGTGATTTTAGATTAATAAAATATGAATTTGTTCTCTAATCCCGCACGCATCTTAAAGAAATTAAGAAGACAGTGGGTACCGTGATTAAAATGGATAAAATCAGATCAACACTTGCTCTAGCCCCCATTTACCTTATAATATATATTATTCGAAACTTCCGGTTGAATTTATAGTCTAAATATCGTTCAATAAATAAGAGGTCTCAGCAAAGATAACTGAATTACCACGCCTTTCTACGTCCCGCTTTTAAAAATATATGTACATATGCATTTTAAAATATTTAATAGCTTCCATTCAAAGCTAAGCCCTTCATTATTATATTTTATCTATTTTTTATTCACCACACAGTAAAATATGCACTAATGCATACATAGATATTTTGAAAGTTCTATAAGCTCATTAATACGAGTATACAATATTATGCCTTATACGAAAATGAGATCATAGGACTATAAAAGTTTGTTTATTACCGCCACATTCATCATCATTATGATTCACTAAGCGTCTATTCCTCACACAATACTTTTAATATGCAACGAACTTTCCGCACATTTCGGCCCTGCCACGATGGATGAGCGGGCGATTAGGCGAAGAACACGGTGTGCATTTGTGGGCTACTCTAGATGGTGGACGCGAGAAGGCAAGGGCGATTGTCTAGAATGAAACAGTGGCTTAAAGTGTGGTCCAACATAGTGAGCGGCCAAGCGGACTCCAGCGCATAACTTCACTAAAAATAGATGTCGAAAAGTGTGCAAACGTGAACTGCATTTTAAATAGCAGCGACGGCCAGCAATGCGACAGCAGTGGACTCACTACACACTTGTCACATAAGAACGGGAATGCAGACGCACTCTATTATTATACAACGCGTTGATAAACGGTGGAGTGATAACAATCTCTACTTCAGTCAGTGTTCAAAGTTGATGTTGCAACGCATTTGCGGTATTTTTATCTGCTATACGATGATGCTGATTGCTACAAGCGAACGCTGAAAAACCTGATATGCCATAATTGAAGATTGCCAACAATAAATCAGTAGAGGGGAGAACGGCGGACGACGGACCGCTGAGCCGCAGTAGCGCCCACAGGCCAGCAAGCGTAACAGTCAACACCGGTCGGACAGGCGACGCCAGTTACGCTGTTATTTTGCGTTGATAAATGATGAAAGTTTCTCTGGAACACACCGATAAGTACCTGTATTCGACGATTACAAAATTTCAGGTGAATATCTTACTCTTGGTCGCGCATGAAAGATCAAGTATGGGTTGCGAATTGATTCTTGCTTTGGAAAGGCAATCGCGTATTGAAATCAAAGAGCGTTGAGTCCTCTTCTAATTTTACCAGATTTAACGTGGTATGATTTTAATAAACTAAGATTATCACGAAGAATAACATGAAAGAAATCTACGACCTCATATTAACGGAATGCCGATTAAAGGTAGGCGAAATATCTAAGGTAGTAGGCATCTCAGTTTGGACAACAAACGCAACCCTAAGATCACTTCGCCATATAGACTTAGTCACCATAGTCGTATTAGGCTTCGAACTGCTGCAAGATCTACCGTATTCTTTAGAACTGGAATGGGAATGTTCGTTTGACTTTTGTAAGCCGTGTACTTGTTGGATCGTCCGCGTAGACAACTACACTACAGACAGACCGACAGGCAGACAAAGCAGACATGTTGACAGTCACTGACGAACTTGCATAGAACCGCCGCGACTTTTTTCGGTTACACAATTTCGCAAAGGCATAATCATGAATAATGAGCGCTGACCAGCGCTGCCACAACACCTTCATCGTCGCCGCCACCGCCACCGCCAYAGCCCCATAAGCAAACTTGTACCCACAAGTATCTACATATGGATATAATTTGGAGCGCACGGTAGCCGCAGCAACGGCAGCGCAACTGACGCGCGGCCAGTACAAATTGAGAATTTGCTGAGCGCGGACGACGAAAAAATCTGACGGCGGACACAAAACGCAAACGAAAGCAGTGTTATTAAGTGAATTGAAGTGGAAGTGCAGGAAGAAGCAGAACCGAGGCGCAAGAAAAAGAAGCAGTGCAAATAGAATTCAATTGAACATTTAAATTGGATGTTGAATTGTGAAAGGCGAATTGAAATTAAAATTAAAATTGGGTGTAATTGGTGTAAAAAGGCGCACCACCTTCTGTCCGACCGACAGTTGAATGGTTACTCCACGTAGGTATGCCCAACGGCGAGTGCGGGTGTGTCCATCCGTTGGAGTGAAGGAGTGCATTGCAGCGGCAGGCAGGCTTTCGATTTGATTACTGCGACTGTAGGCAACGGACAGACCGTGATTTCAGTGGCAATTTAACGTTGCACATGCAACTTGCGGAAGTGAACGCGGTTTCCGAAAGCTTTAATTGTGCTTGAAGTGCAGTTCGCAGTAAAATAAAACGGATTAATCCAAATTTAAAAAATCTTGTTGAAATCGAATCTTAATGTCTAACACGGAGAGTGCTCCGCTCTGCTAATGACGATTTTATCAAAATATTTACGCAGTTAATTTCATTGTGGCATCATCTTCAATTTAAATTCATTTAATTTATCGCTGTTCCGCTATAATCACAAGCACGAACAACTAGTGCACAAATATATATAGTAAATATACATATGTACAACTAAATAATACAGCACTTTGGTGCAGACTTTACTCATATAACAGCACAAACACCCACACATCTAATATGGTCCATAAGTAACTATGTACACATGACGCTCATACTAAACTACGCACGAAAACTAACGGTATGCACATATGTGTGCCTCAAATACATCCAGCACACATATAACAAATGGACGACATGACCTGCGCTGCGGCGCTGGCCCAACTGTCCCCGAACAGCCTTGTATGCGATCAAATTTAAGTGGCCACTCAACCATTCTGCTCAACGTGACGTCTGCCCGTGCAGCAGCCATCGCCGACCCCACTTTTTGTACTCTGTCGTCCGGCATTGTGATTATTTGTTTATCTCGTAAAGTGTTTTGCTCTTCTTCTATTTTACTATTCTCTTTCATTAATCCCGTTTGCATACTATTTTATTTCTAGTTTTTTGTGATCAAGCTCGTTGCATGTACTTACATATATATGTATGTAGCTGTCATTGTTTGACGACTCAAGTTTTTTGTTGACGTGCTGCCTAGCCAAAACGTAGACGCTTCGTCAACATTGCCAAAAACGAGCGCTTACTAAACTTTTGTTAATTGTTTGGCTGAGTTTTCTCAGAGTTCTACTACTCTATACTTCGAGCCAATTTCAAACAGTATTGATTACAATTAATGGAACACTTATTAAGATGGGGTACCTAGTCAAATAAATACATAGGTATAAAAATAATTGAAAAAGTAGACGACTAGATCCGCTCTGATCGAACGTTCAGTTCCTTCCATGATTTTTTTTTTTTTTTTTTTTTGAACACTGCATCGTGATAGGACCTGAAAACTATTTTGAGGTAATGTAAATAAAGCACAAGCAAAAATTAGTCTACTTTAAGTACAAAAGAGATAAAGAAACATGTTAGAGACTCCAAGAGATCGCACCTTCAGAAACAGAACCAGATGCCGAGCATGGCTAAGGATAATTAAAAAAAAATTTATTTCTGCTGCGAATTCGGGTGAACCGTTTGAGAGAGAATACGTGCCAGTGTTGAAATTAAAAATAAAGTGGTCAGCTATAGTGGGTTTAGGAATTTTATTATTTTTTTTATTATTTTTTTTGGATTTTTTTTTTTCATTTTTTGAGTAGTTCTCAATTAACTTGCGGAAGTCAATATAAATGTAAAAAGAAAATGGATGTAAAATTAAGAATGAAATTTCCCTATAATATTTTCATACTTATGACTTGATATATAATTTTGCTACTTTATCCAGTTCCTTCGTTGTGTTCCAGCGTCTCTCTATTGCCTATTTCCCTTCACTTTCTTCATGTGTCATTGTTAATTTGTAACCTTTGACTAGGCGTTCTGAAGTCTTTTCAAGACCATGTAAGTTTTTGACTGTTTTCCTTCCGCTAGCTTTCGCATGATCTTGTCGATTCTTCATGCTCCTAGGGCATTCCACCCCAGCTTGGTCCGCCTGCCAGCCCTTTCAGAAATTTCACTGTGTATGGTTTTAAATGATTCGCGGGTTTCTTATGGTTCGTTAGCTAAATAGATGTCAGTTTTGGCAATATTATCATATAATTCATTTTTCGGAGCCCCTTTGTGGCCTGGAACGCAGTACATATGCAGTTGGTTCCTTCAGCCACTTTGTCTACTACCTCCGTGATTCTAAATGTATTCTTTGACGCTTCTTTATATCATTTCCTGCGGTTTTAGAAATAAGCAAACACATCTGCCTGGAAGATACTGTAGTTTTACGGCAACTTAAACGATCGCCTGAGATCTAGCTCCGCGCAATAGAACCCAGCGTCCAACGGATTCTATTGCTGACAGCGGTCCACCAGACCAGAGCAAGGCAAATCAAGATTGGCTTGATTACCGCTGTGTAACACCAATCCATAAGAACAGGTGACAAACCCCACGATGACCCTAGCACCTTAGAACATTCTTAGAGATCTGCACTGGTATTTTTCACCTTCTCATCGATATTCAGTTTCCACGTCAGTTTACTGTCCAAATTACTCCCAGGTACCTAGTAGTTAGCTCTATCCTTGGAGGTTGAGATCTTGTGCCTCTTTGTAAAGAGTTCATAACCAGATTGCAGGTGTTTGACTTCTAATGCTATTCGTCTAGGAATTTATAACTATGTTGTTGTCTCCCTGATGTTCATTTCCTACAAGTGAACACAGCAGAGTCGACAGTACAACTGAGGAATTCCTATTTACGCTAATCTGAGCAACCTGGCTTCCTTTCATTAGTAGAGTACATCTCCATGTTATAATGGCGAACTCTATCTCGGCAAGCTACAGACTATTATTAAAAAATATTTGTTAGGTAACAGCGCTCTTACTACTTTGGAGCCAAAAACTCTAAAATTATGAATTTTTTTAACTACTTGTCTACTAACCGCAAGAGATCTCTCATGAAATTCGCGCCATAACTTCTTACTAACTGTACATTTGAGCAGCACGCTATTTACGCGCTCGAATATTGCATTTTTGTCTATTATTGTAATTGTCATTCATATATGTATGTACGTGATTGACATAACAAAGCTTTTCAAATGCCATTCGCGTGCGTCGGTGACAAGTCTTACACAACACATGAATGCTGCACAGAAAAACTTATGAACCAAGTAGTACATATGTATTAATACAATAGCACACTCTGGAGACAAACTTTATTGGTAACGAGTGACTCGTACATGACAACTCCGTTAACTTGGTCTAAAGTGGGAAAGCGCTCCAAGCACAATTTGGGAAAAGTTTACTAGACAAAAGCGAAAGACTGCTGACTAAACCGGTTGGCGGCTGGCAAAAACTCTGGAAATTTTCAGTAGCTATTTTGTGCTGATTTTATTGTGGGTTTGTGTTGTTGCATCGTGCGCCACTACACAAAATATTTTCTTGATGTGATCACATTTGTTATCTGCGATTTGAAAGTTGGTCGATATAAAACGTTTTCGGCTTCTCAACCACGCGCTAGCACAAGCTCCTGTCTGCGCGGCATACTAATACCCAATACCACTCGATGGTTTGATTTAAGTATTCTAGCGTCAAGCGACAAATATATGCAGACAATAAAATCAGCTAAAACAGTTTTGTTTTGTCTTCACAGTAAATATAGCGATGTAAGGCGACAGAAGCGCGCGTCCATTCTTCAGCTCAGCACTTGCAACGCCTGCGCAATAATGAACAAAATAGTAGTGCCATAACAATAAAATAACTGCAAAAGCCAACAACAACTACAAGTGTTTCTGTTGACAATTTCGCTTGTCAAAAACAGTAAATTTAAATTTAAATAAAAACATCCAAATTCTCAATACGCACAAATCGGTTGAGGAAATAATTCCAACGCGAGTGAGTTATAGAAAATGAGCAATCAAATTAACGGGCGCCCGTCGGCGACGAGCGTCGCTGTTTTGGCGCTGATCTGTGCAGCAGCGTTTGGCGGCGTGTCTGCCGATGGTGTCGACGTCGGCACTGCCGCACAATTGGATCCAGCATTGAAGAATATCAAATATATCGAGAACAAAGTTATACCAGATGTCAAGTCATTGGCCAATGAGCGTCCAAGGGCCGAAGGCGTCGACGTGGAGAAATGGCAGCAGGTGCAGCGTTTCATGGAGGACGGCATGCCCGTACTGGAACTCTACGGCTACAAACCGAAAAGAGGTGAGCATATAATAAATATTTTCCTAATAAATAGTTGGTCGACAAAAACTATCTTCAATTAGTTTACACATACAAGCAGAAGTTGTGAATATATCAAGAAACAAGAAAAAACGTTAACTTCGGCTGCACCGAAGGTGCACCCTTCACAAGTGCATTTCTTTTAGTAACTATATGTTCAGTTTATATGAAAGCTATATGCTATTGTAATTCGTTCTTTGGAGTTTTTTTGGAGTTTATATTGTTACCTTAAGCAGTAATCCATGTCGAATTTCGTGAAGATACCACGTGTGGAAGTTTCTATACAAGAACTTGATTCCGATCATTCATTTTGTATGGCAGCTATATGCTATAGTAATTCGATCTGAACAATTTCTTCCGAGTTTACACTGCTGCCTCAAAAAATAATCTATACCAAATTTCGTGAATATTTCTTGTCAAATGTGATAGTTTTCCATACAAAAGCTTGAATCCGATTGTTCAGTTTGTATGGCAGCTGTATTCTATAGTGAGGTGATCTGAAGAATTTCTTCGGAGATTACAGTGTTGCTTTAGAAAATAGCCTGTGCCAACTTTTGTGAAGACACATTGTGAAGTGTGAAAGTTTTCTATACAAGAACTTGATTCCGTTCGTTCAGTTTGTATGGCAGCTATATGTTATAGTGGTCCGATATCGGCAGTTCCGATAAATGAGCAACTTCTTGAAGAGAAAATGACGTTTGCAATATTTCAAAACGAAATCTTAAAAACTGAGGGACTAGTTCGTATATATACAGGCAGACGAGCATGGCTAAATCGACTCAGCTCAACATACTAATCATTTATATATTCTCTTCTTGATTGGCGTAGTCACCGCTTACGCGATTATAGCCGAGTTAACAACAGCGCGCCAGTCGTTTCTTCTTTTCGCTACGTGGCGCCAATTAGAT